CAGCAGGAGCTCAGACAGCACTTGGCAGGATGGAAAACCATCTGATCCAGATACTGAGATCACACAGAGCAGGGGGCCAGCATCAAAGAGAGAGAGAGGGACTTCTTCCGGAAAGTTGGAAAGAGGCGAGCCTGGTTCCAGAGAAGGCAACAGGAACCAGACTCAACCGCAGACTACGCAGCGTGGAGTTGGGATGTGAGGGAGGCTATGAGGGAGGTGAAGTCATGGATAGGGGCCTGAGAGGAGGAGGATGAGAGAGAGGAGGTTGACAGTGCAAACCTCAACTTCCAAAAGGCCTTTGATCTGGTATCCCACGATATTTTCACAAGAAAATTGGAAGATTATGGGCTCAACTGCGTGACAGCGAGGTGGGTGGGAAGCTGGCTGTCGGGCAGGACCCAGAGAGTCCTAATGAACGGATCTGTGTCATCCTGATGAGAAGTGGCCTGTGGTGTCCCTCGGGGGTCGGTGCCTGGTCCAGTGCTTTTTTAACATCTTTATCAATGATTTGGATGTGGGGGGTGAAGAGCTCACAGGCCAAGTTTGCGGACAACACCAAGTTATGAGGGAGTGTGGTCACGCTTGGAGATGGGCTACAGATACCGGTGGACCTGGACATGCTGGCAAGTTGGGCAGATCAGAACCATATGAATTTCAATGTTGAGAAATGTAAAGTGCTCCATTGGGCGATGAGCAATCCCCAACACACCTACAGGCTTGGCAGCACTAAACTGACTGGCAGCACGAATGAAGGGGACCCGGGGGTACTAATAAACCACGGTATGAATATGACCCGGCAGTGCGATGCCGAAGCCAGCAGGGCAAATAATACACTGCCATGCGTCAATCGATGCATCTCCAGCAAAACCAAGGAGGTGATTCTTCCGCTCTACTCAGCGGTGGTGAGACCGCAGCTGGAGTACTGCGTCCAGTTCTGGGCATCGCACTTTAACAAGGATGTGGACAAGCTTGAGAGAGTCCAGAGAAGAGCTGCCCATATGATCAGAGGCTTACACAGCAAGCCATACGAGGAAAGGCTGAAGGACCTGGGACCCTTCA